GGGTGTGCCTGTGTGTAGTGCATATGTTTGTGATTGCAATATCTTCTTCATGTATTTTTCCTTTAATGTAGTGACTTTCCTTGTCTCTTCTGACTAGTTTTAGTTTGAAGTCTATTTTATTGGATATTAGAATAGCTACACCTACTTGTTTCTTAGTTCTGTCTGATTTGAACATCCTTTTTAATCCTTTTACTTTTTGGTGGTGTCAGTCATTGATGGTGAAATGTGTTTCTTAGAGGTAGCAAATTAGTGGAGCCTATTTTCTAATCCAATCACTTTGTGTCTTTTTACTGGGGAGTTGAGACCATTAGTATTGAGAGTTATTATTGATCGATATTTATTAATTCCTGTTATGTTGGTATTGTAGTGTTATTTTCTTAGACCTTTTTTGGTTAATTGTTCTGGGGTAATTTATTCAGTTTTTATACCTTCCTGAGAGTGTTTAATAGTCTCTTCAGACTGAAGTATTCATTGAGTATTTTCTGTAGCTGGTTTCATGGACTTAAATTCCTTAAATTTGTTTTCATCATGGAAACTTTTTCTTTCTCCTTTGATTGCAACTGTTCATTTTTCTGGGGATAGTAGTCTGGCCTGGAATCTGTTCCTTCATGATTTGTAGGACATGGGTTCAAGCCCTTCTGACTTTCATAGATGCCATTGAAAAGTCTGCTGTTATTCTGTTATACCTGTCATTATATTTGACTTGATCTTTCTCTCTTACAACTTTCAGTATCTTTTCTTTGTTCTGTACATTTAGAGTTTTGTCTATTATATGATGTGAGGAGTTTTTTGTTTTTTGTTTTTTGTTTTTTTTTTCTGGTCCTATCTACTTGGTGTTCTGTATTCCTCACTGATAAGTCTCTTTCCCTAGATTGGGGAAGTTTTTTTCTATGATTTTATTAAAATTTTTTTGGGGGGCTGGAGAGATGGCTCAGTGGTTAAGAGCATTGGCTGCTCTTGCAGAGGACCCGGGTTCAAATCCCAGCTCCCACATGGTGGCTAACAACCATCTGTAACTGTAGTTCCAGGGAAATCCAGTGCCCTCCTCTGCCCTCTGCAGGCACTGCATGACATGAATGCACTTACATACATGCAGGCAATACACTCATACACATAAAATAAAAATAATAAATAAAATTTAAAAAATTTTATTTATTGTTTTGATATGTATGCATGTATTGCCTGCATGTAGGTGAGTGCACCCATGTTGTGCAATGCCCACGGAGGTCAGACGAGGCTGTCGGATACCCTGGGACTGGAGCTATGGACAGTTGTTAGCTGCCATACGGGTGCTGGGATTCGAACCCGGGTCTTCTGCAAGAACAACCAGTGTTCTTAACCGCTGAGCCACCTCTCCATATTTTAAAAATATATTTTTGTGCCTTTGACCTAGATTCCTTCTTCTCCTTCTATGCCTATGATTCATAGCTTTGGTCTTTTTACAGTGTCCCAGAGGTCTTGCATATTCCATTCCTGGGTTATTTGATATTTAACGTTTTTTTTTTTATTGAGCAGTCCATTCCCCAGTCTTGTCTTCAAGATCTAGTATTTCCTGTTCTGGTTCTTCTACTTCCTTTTTGCTCCTTTCCTCTAAGATTTTTGAGTTCCTGAGATCTTGTTTCAAATTTTATTTCAATTTAGATTTTCTTCAGAGATCCTATCTTCTATTGAATCTAGTTTCATGTTTTGGTGTTTTAGTTCTTTCATTCGTTTTCATGGTCTTTATTCAGTCTTTTATTCATATCTTCTTTGAGTTCCTGGAATATATTTGTAATTGCTATTTTGAAATCGTTGGCTTATTCATCTGCTGGGTTGCCATTCTCAGGGAGCATTGTGATGGAGATGCTGATTTTTGTAGGAGACATCTTATCTTGTTTATTCATGTTGTTTGCAGATTTCAGTGGTACCTACATACCTGGGCTTAAGTAGGTGGTAGTGTTTCTTGGTATGTATAGCTCATCTCATTTTTACTTAATAGTTGTTTGTATCTTTGCTTGCTGGTACCCCAACTTTTCAGTTTATGGTCCAGGTGAAACTTTTACGTTGAGACTCCAAGATTGACTCCACACAGTCCTAGATCATCAGGCTGGGTTGGGTGGCTACTGGGTGAACAGGTCAACTGGTAGGTTAGTCTGGGGAAGCTCAGAGGTTGGGGTAGGCAATGATCCCAGCCGCCTACCCCTGAGAGCTGAAATGGCAGAGGGAACTCACCTGATGTTTTTATTTTTAATTTCTATTTTTAACTATGTTTGTGTGTGTGTGTGTGTGTGTGTGTGTGTGTGTTGGTGAGGGGTTGTGCATGTGAGTACAGTGCCTACAAAGGCCAGAAGATGTCAGATCTCCTGATCACTGAGTTATAGGCAGTTGTGATCTTCTTAATGTGGGTGTTGGGAAGTGAACTCAGGTCCTCCACAAGAGCAGCGTGGACTCTTAACTGTTGAGACATTTCTTTAGCTCCCTCATTTGACACCTCTAATGTGACAGAAATATGCTAGGTACTCTCACTTAGTTCCCTCATTTAATGCGGATAACAATTTGAGGTAGAAATTTCCCATTTTAAAGATCATAGTATTCCAGTTGTTGATCATCCAAGATGTCAGAGTGCTTGTGAGGGCAGAAAGATGACAAAATTAAAACTTGAAATCAAATATAAGTTCTCCATAAAACATTTTTGTTTTTTGTTTTATTTTATTTTATTTTTACAGGGTCTCCTAGTCCCAGCCTGCCTAGAAGTCACTATGTTGACCAGGCTGGCCTCAGTCTCACAGAGATCCACCTGCCTCTGCCTGCTGAGGGCTGGGATTAAAGACATGTGCCACTACTCCTGGCACTATGAAATGTTTTAAAGGGATTAGGCTGTATAGAACTTCATACAAGGGGCAGGACATCTGAAAGACAGAGGTAATTTCACAGGCATGTTGAGTGAGCACTCAGGGATGCATAGTTGTGGTGAGGACTTGAGAACATGAGGAAATGGAAGTCTCATGACTAGATAGGTTGGCACAAAAAGAAGCAATTAGATGCTGAGTTTTAAATGTATCACCTGGAGAAGGTTTTACTGGGATGCCAAACAGTGAAGAAGTTTAGCATAGTCCTCTACTAAGTGTTTCAGTGCTAGAGTGTGTGTACATGTACACGTATATGTGTTAAATGCATATGTGACACTTGTGTCAGTGCATTATGTGTGTGTGTGTGTGTGATGCACACATGTGTATATATAATAAATGTCAGCAGACTTTATGGATGAGTAAATTGAGCAACTTGGAAGATCTCAGTGTCTGTGTTTCTGGCTACATGCTGACTTTAGCAAAGGAAACTGGGTTTACACTCTTCCTAAATTTGGAGGTATCTGAGTCAACCTACCATGGATGAAACAGCTTCACAACTCTAGTCATTGCGTGAGCAAAGTCTCCTCTCTGATTTAGTTCTTGTATTTCAGTTAGTCACTTGAACTGTAAGTCGTTAGATCCTGTGTCCTTGAGTCTTTCCCGTTTCTGTGGAAGTAGCTGCCAGGCAGAGGGAATGCTGAATGGAACTGATTTTGCATTGACTTATTTACTTAGTGCTGAGTGTAGTGGCTGCAAAATTAAAGACTTAAGATGTTTTGCATTTTCTATGGAACTTTAAGTAGGCACTGGAGAGTTTTTTGGGTGCCAGGCTGTTTCTACACCACCCCTCATCTGTTTCCTGTGACTCTGAATGCAATGCTGAAGCACTGGATGTCCTTGACACTCAACGTCTCCTCGGGGAAGCATAACTGACAGAAAAAGCAACTTCCCTCGAATGTCTTGTCCTTTGACTTTCATAATTAAGCTCAAAGAAAAATTTTTTGATTGAATTACTTTTATTTTATGTGTATGAGTGTTTTGCCTGCATGTGTGAAAGTGCACCCATGTCATGCAGTGCCTGCAGAGGCCAGAAAAGGACATTAGATCCCCTAGAATTGGAGTTGTGACAGTCGTTAGCCGCCATATGGTTGCTGGGAACTGAACCCAAGTCCTCTGAAAGGGCAGCCAGTGCTCTTAACTGCTAAGCCATCTCTCTAGCTCCCTCTTTTCTGTTTTAAAGGAGATAAATTAAAACCTACCCGAGGTCGTGTGGCTTACACAAGACAAAGTCAGAAATCAAACTAAGTGTCTCAAGGGACTGTGACTCCATCCTTCTCTACACTGACTTTATATGGGTTACATCCAAGATCACTTGTGTTGTAGATGAAGAAGAGGATGTGTGACACCACCACCAAGGTTATAGCTGCCATTTTGTTTTCAGTGTGAAAATAGAGCCTTCATCCCCTAAATGCCCTTTGAGCATGGACACTTCTGTTGTTTCTATTAAGAAGACCCCGGGGTAACAAAAGATTAAAAAATCATGTGTATGTCCCCAGGATAGAAATTGTTCCTTGAGAATCAGTAGGTATGTATTTGTCCACAAAGTGTCTGTTGCCAACTCTTACATTGGTGGTTTGTAAAAAAATAAAAAAATAAAATAAAATAGTGTTTATTACACACCACCATCTTTTAAAAAATCAAACTTCTTAAAGTTATAAGAAAGGTACTAAGCTACAGGAAACTAGCAGTAGGTGAAATACCTCTCAAGATGGCAGACTCTTGGTATTTTCCATTACAATGCAGGTCTTCACTGACCCCTCCTTCTTTGCAGTATCTAAGAACTCACTCTTGTGATATATTAAAGAAAGCTGTTCAACACCTGCAGGTAGGATGGAAATACCAAATAATTCTAGCTGTTAAGGGTTCTTAGAGGCTTCAAGAGTCTGCTGCTTCCTTCACAATTAAAAGAATAGCATGAGCCTATAACGCAGTGTCGTCGGTAAATCTCCTAGGAGAATGAAAGTAGGGATTTTGCTCCAGTCTTTCAAGCCTACCAGCGGAAAGAGACACTTCAGCAGCTTGAGTGGGTGGTTTGCTGCTTTGGTTTCAGGTTAATTAATACAGAAAGAAGTCACCTTATTGATGAGATGTTGTGTGTCTCTTCTCCTACAGGGCTGCTTAACAACACCGAACTCCCCATCCATGCAGTCGAGGACCCTGACACTGGGTCCCTCCCTCTCACTGGGCAACATCTCAGGGATGTCTGCGAAGTCAGAGATGAAAAAGCGCCGAGCCCCTCCACCTCCAAATCCAGGGCTATTGGTTCAAGACAAAGCATCAGAAAAGGTAGGGGAGGGGCAACTCTCAGGACCAAAGCATCTTTCCACTGACCCACTTAACTCTACTGCGGCTTCTTCGCTCTTGTTTTAGCAAGCTGTGTTCAGGGTGTGCATCTGAGCTTTATTTAGAAGTAAAGGCGAGATGTCACTCTGCTTCAGTTACTAAGGTCGGAAACTATTTTGGGGTCTTTGGTTCTTAAGGGCCCAGTACTTGTAGATTAGCATGTGTTTTGTTTTAGCACTGAAATTTGGGGGTGTCAGTGAGACTGCATGTGAGAAAAGTGTGCAAGTAAACATACTTTGAGAAATATGAAGCTTGTGAAAGAGACAGTGCATATTATAACACAGATGACACAAATAATTCAATTTCACAGGAGAGCTGAGACTTTGGCATATTAGATTGCTGCTGATATGATATGGGCTTTATTTCATAAGGCCCTGTGCTTGAGAAGCCTCCTTTTTGTTTGTCTTCAGAGCAGTTTAATGTCTTTGAAGGTGATTAAGGCAGTAGGTATTGCTTAATATTATCCTCAGCAGTGAGTTACTTGCCCCGTGGACTTCACTTGGGCCTTTTTCTTTCAATTACCTGCTGACACCCGGAAGCACTATTTGAAATGTCAGATCCTCTCTTCCCATGTTACAGGATAATAAACTTTTCTCTGATTTTAGTCACTCACAGTCAATTTCAGTCTAAAAACATTAAATAGAAAATTCCAAAAACAATACGTAGTGTATTTAACTCTCATACTCTTTTGAGTAGCATGGTGAAAAAAAAATCTCACAGTCACACTTGTTCCTGCCAGACATGAACCATCCTTTTCTCCAGTGTATATACACTGTCTCTGTCCATCTGTTAGTTACTAAGTGCTGTCTCAGTTGTGACTGACTGTCATGGTGTTGTGGTGCTATGTTCTGGTAACTCTTACTTGATGTGATAGTGACCCCAAAGACAAGTGTTACAGTAATGCACCTAGGCAGATTAGGCCAAAGAGAAGATAGAATGCTTCCATTAAGTGAAAATGTGAAATGTTATCACAAGTAGGTATGTACAAGGAAACACAGAGATGTATATGGTTTGATACTCTCTGAGGTTTCAGGTACCTACAAGGACTATTGAAATATGTCTCCCCTACAGTTAAGGAATGGTGTCAGATGACTCTGGTTCTTTTTCCAAATCTGAAAGAAATACTTAAAAAATAACATGAAGTTTTATTTTTCTGAATGCCTCCTCACTTAGGTGACGTGTGATGGAGACCATATCTGGGATACCTCGGAGGGGCTCATGCTTTCTGGCTCTTCCAGAAGCATATTCCCCATGGCAGTCAGCTGTGTATCTTCATCCATATGCTGAGGAACAATTTGAGGATTGTACTAGTCACTTTTCTGTTGCTGTGATAGAAACACTGACCCAAGCAATTTATAGAAGGAAGAGTTTATTTGACCTTACGGTTCCAGGGGAATTACAGTCCGTCATGGCAGGGAGGCATGGTGGCTGGAGGTGGCTGGAGCAGGAGCAGCAGAAGCTAAGCTCTCACATTATCATGCAGGCATAGGAAGCAAGAGAGCGACTGGAGATCTGGCAAGGCTTAAGAACTCTCTAAGCCCACCCCCAGTGATGTGCTTCCTCCAGGATAGCCACACCTTCTAAAACCTCCCCAAACAGTGCCATCGTCTAGGGACAAAATGTCCAAACACTTGGAGCCTATGGGGGACATTTTCATTTAAACCACCACATTCCATCCCCTGGCCCCCATAGGCTTATGACCATATAAAATGCAAAATGCATTTAGTCCAACTTTAAATGTCCCCATAGTCATTATCAGTCTCAATACTATTCAAAAGTCCACAGTCCAAAGTGGACTCAGGTAAATATCTTAACTGTAAGCCTCTATAAAATCAAAAGACAAATTACATACTCCCAACATATGGTGGAACCAAATACACATTACCATTCCAAAAGGGAGGAATGGAGGCATAGTAAGGAAATACTGGACCAAAACAAGACCAAAACCCAGCGGGGCAAACCCCAATCCAGTAGCTCCATGTCCAACTTCTGGGACTTCACTTCCAAAGGGCTTAGATGGCTCAGCCTCTCTAGCTTTGCTGCATGTAACACACATCTCTCTCTTGTGCTGGTACCACTCCCTGTGTGCAGGTCTTCTTGGCAGATGCCTCACAGCTCTGGCATCACGAACTTCTTGGGGTCTCCACTGCCAACTAGGCTTCACCTTTACAGCTTTATGCAATGTCCTATTAGGGCCTTCCCTAGGCAGGGGAACCCCTGCTTCATGCTGCCTGGCCTCCAAGGCTCTCTGAAACATCAGAGGAAGAATTGATGACCTCTTCATTCTTACATCTTTTATGCCTCTAAAGCCAGCACCAGGTGAACAACAATGCCAAGTTTGACTGCAAGTTTGGGATGGACTCCAGCCTGCTTTATCCATTTTAGAAGTGCTTCTCTTCAGTGGTCCCTACAGCATTTTCCTTTCACAAGTTGGAGGTTTAACTGGGTGTGGTCTTGCCCTGGAGGCACTCTCTCCATTGTTTCAGTATGAATCTCTAGGCCCCTCCTTAATCACTTTAATCTCCTTATCAATGGGATCCTCTCCATCACATGCCATGGCTCAAACAATCATCTTCCTAGTGCTCTTTTTCAATCCAAACTGTATTTCTTTCTGCCCCATTTTTGCTCTTTCACTGTACAGCTGCATAATATTCACCATTAATATCCACGCCATCATTTCTACATTATGGTGTCTTGAAATTTCTTCCGCCAGAGAAATTAGTCCATTGCTTTTCAACTTAGCCTCAGGAAAGCTTTTTGGCTGTGGGCAGACTCCAACCAGACTCTTTGCCAAAATATCCCAAGTGCTGCTTAAGTCCTCATTTCCCTCTGGAACTACATTGTTCTCAGCATTGCTTTCTTCCAGGCCCCTACTAGAATGGCCTATTAAGCTCCACATACAGCAGTCAACCACTTTTCTAGCCCAACATTCCAAAGTCTTGTACTTTTCTTCAAAACCCCATATGGTCAGGTTCTTCACAGCCAACAGCCCACTCTCTGGTACAAATTACTGTGTTAGTCTTTTTTCTGTTGCTGTGATAGAAACACTGACCCAAGAAATTTATAGAAGGAAGAATTTATTGAGCTTATGGTTCCAGGGGAATTACAGTCCGTCATGGCAGGGAGGCATGGTGGCTGAAGGTGGCTGGAGCAGGAGCAGCAGAAGCTAAGCTCTCACATCATCATGCAGGCACAGGAAACAAGAGTGACTGGAGACCTGGCAAGGCTTAAGAATTCTCTAAGCCCACCCCCAGTGATGTGCTTCCTCCACAATAGCCACACCTTCTAAAACTTCCCAAAATAGTTCCATCATCTGGGGGCAGAGTATCCAAACACTTGGAGCCTATGGGGGACATTTTCATTCAAACCACCACAAGGATAAAGATGCTTTTTCTTCATTAGGCTGGTCTGTGTTAACTGGCCCTGCATTCCCGCTTCCTGGTGAGACAACACACCCTGAACACCAGCATCATAGGAGGCCTACTGAGCATCTTTTTACTCTTTGATGGACTTTATGATCCTGCTCTTCCCTGATGCCTTGGTGTCTCTTGTTTTATCCCTGCTTCATAACTCTCATGGACATCAGGCTGATGCTTTCCTTTAGCATTAATCCTTTTTTTTGCTTAGTTATAAAATGGCTTTTTCTGGAAATATACTTAAAATATGGTAGAAACTAAGTCCATAACTCCAAGATTTGAGGTGTGGTCCTGGGTCTTGATTACAGAAACAGGTTTCTGTGACAGGGTCCTAACATCTTGTTTGGCATCTCTGCTAGTTATTTTTCCCATTGATGTGACAAAATACCCGACAGGAGCACCTTAAGGTGGGAGGGATTTTCTTGGCTCACAGTTTGAGGATTAGGAAGTCAGCAGCAGGAACAAGAGGCAGCTCTTTATAGTGCATCCACACTCAGGGAGCAGGGAGAGGTAGGCTGCCACTCAGCTTTCTTCTTCCTTTGTATTCAGTTTATACCTCAGCTCACGAGATGGTGTGTGTCATTGACAATCAAGGTAACCATCTCTCAGTCAAACCTTTCTGGACACACCCTCATAGACACACTAGAGGTGTTTCCAAAATGATTCTAAGTCCAGTCAAGTTGATAATGAAGATGAAACGTCACAGCATCTTTATCAGTCTGGGGTCTGTCTGCAGATATCTTTAGGTGACTTTTCTCCCCCAGAGGCATCCTTAACCATGCGTCTCAGAGATCACCTGTCTCCACATAGGCCCGTCTTTATTCATGTCCCTAGAAACTTGTCTCAAAATCCTATAATACAACACATTTTAGAAGAAAACATTCTTACTTCTTGTGTCTCATACAATATCTAAAGGCACTCATTTGAGATTTCTGTGGTACTGTAGCCAGGTTCCAATAAGAAAAGGATGGTTCTACATCAGTTTGTTCTACACTTGATAAAACGATGCAGGTAGTATGTGAAGTGGTTTTCTTCTGTAGTGCATCTCTTTGATAAGTTTAGATTCTAAACTTTTTCATAACATCCAGACCCAAACGATAGCATTAGCCATTTTCCGTCATTTCCCTCTGATATGTTTTGTTCCTTTTGGTTAGGATAGATATTTGGTTAGTAATGAAAAATATGTATTCTGGGATCAGTATTATAAAACCCCCTTTTTCAATAAGAAATTTTAATGTGATGAACATAGATTGTTTATCAGTATTTCAAATTTTTCTTCCATCCAAATATGTCATATTTTTTGCTTTTCTGCTTTTAATGCAGCTACCCATACTGAGTGAAGCTTGCTTGAACAGAAAAACATATACTAAGTGGAGAACGGGGAATTTTCAATGAAAAATAAATAGTACATTCTACCCTGCAGACTGAACAGAGTTTCCTCTCCAATAATAAAAGCTTTTACCGAAATCTGTTCTATTTGGCACAGAATGAGTAGAGAAATTGGCTGATGGAAACCGTCCCCCTTTT